CATTAGCACACCCGAGCAACCACATCTCAATGAGAACCAATTCATTAGAGCATGAACAATAGCACCTGTTTATCACATTCTCTGAAAATACCTTGAACGAAGTGTATCCTCCAGTACCCAGCTTAGGTTTTCAGCTCCTTTCGGCACGCCACTACCTTCCACCTCCTTCCTAGGCCTCGGCATAAACAGATTTCACACGACCAAAGGTTGGCTTGAAGCTCTTCAAGCAATCAAAGGTTCGTGTTACGCGAAAAGCGTTTCCTGGCAACGCCAGTAAACAAATACGGGTTGAAAAAATGACAGATCCAAGTTAGTCCAGCACAACGAGTCGGAGGCAAAATCTTGTTGAACGTTATGAAAGTGGAACCAAATCTCAACAGACCGCCAGTAAACTGGTTAACTAACCAGTCATTTGAGAGATTTCAACTATAGAGAGGATTGCTTAGTGGAGAAGCGTTTCCGTTTCGAAATAATGTACTTACGAATGGCTATTTTTATCAGCATAATTGTAATCCGGCCTTTAAAACCAGTTTTTTTTTACCAGACACAACATTGCGTGTTCTCTGCTCGATTAAAACATTAACAGTAGAATTGAGAAACCAGGTACATGAGGAACAATACAGAATATTTTTTCAGGGTCATAAAAAACTTCAGCTCCAACTAATTTGATGTTACTCAAGAAGTGAACAGGGCCTAACTGGAATCTAACAGGCATTCTCACGAAGTCAACTGTATTGCGTAGGTGAGATTCTCCAATACTAATCTACGCACTTCCTTTGGCACACTATTGCATGCACCCAGTATCTCTCAAGGCTCCACCCCTACTTTCAGCCCTTGAGTACCCTTGAAACGACTCCATCTCATCGTCAGTTCACCGCAAATTCAAATCAACTAGCGCGAGTTGCCTCTATGCCTAACGATCCTACCTTCAGGGAACTCGCATAAATATGGACCGTTTATAATGAGGAGAAATGTCTTTTAAAAAGAAAACAAAATGTGCCATCAAAGTAGAGATAGTAAAGTTTTCTTTTATGTTTTTGAAAGCCGACATGATTCTCAAAGTTGATTTACTATTCAAAAACCGTGACAAAAGGAGAATAATAATGGGAAATAAAAAATGGTTTCATTTGATCGCATTGCTCTTACCCACGTGAACAATGGGTGATACGCTGTGAACGAAGTTCAAACTATCTTACACCAAAACATCAGCCCTCACACTTGGATGTTTCGGTACTGTAGAATACAGTATCAAAATGAAGTTGTGGAAGTGAAACGTGAAACTGAAAAGTGAATATATAATGAACCTGGTCAATGAGCGACTGTCCGAGATTTCCAAGAAGTTTCTCGTGCAATAAGGGATCCGGATGCGGTGTCGCAGGATTATAATAGGGAAGAATACCCGATAAGAACGCCGACAACGAAAGACCAGCTGGTCCATTTCCTAAAAAAACTGGAATACACAGCTGACCAAGATATCGCCAATTGCATGGAAAAGATGATCCATTTATATACCCAGGTCACGATTCCTAACCGACGATTACGATCTTGATCTTTTAAAGGTATTATCTAAATTTGATTAACACAAATTTTATTGTAAGTTAATGTTAAAAACCGGCCATTAAGGCACAAGTGGTTAAGATCCGATTTGTATTTTTTTTATTGGCCAAAATTATAAACAATTCAAATTATTACAAGTTTATAAGCAACCATAACGCTGGTTAGCTGTAACCAACATATACAAAACTGGAAAGAAAGATTCTCAAAAAAATATCTTGCACGATCTAGTCCGAGGGGCTGCATAGTTTTAGCTGTACAGTAATGAGGTGCCCTTCAAATCGGCTGCCACTCCGAAAATCCAGTTCATCTGTTTATGTTTGCTTTTGGCATCATCAATCCGGTTTTGCCAGTTTTCTACGAGATGGTGACTACAAATCTCGTCTTCATTTAATGATCAGATGTTAAACACACGGATCTGGAACCACCATCCAAATGGAATTCAATAGTAACTTATAACTAAAAACTTTGTGAAAAGAAAGAAAGTGACCGAATACGACGTAAGAATCAGCGAGACTGACAAAATAGAAAGTTCACGGGTTCTATTGAACAGCTGCTCTATCATGTTACGCCATCATCTCATTTTACACCTACGAGTCGAAATTGGATCTACCCGCGGGTGATTCCTGTAGAACAACTATCAAATCCCCAGAATCTGTCAAGAGACGAGGGTCCTAGAAACAGAGAAATCTATCAAAATTTTTAGAGACTCACGCAAATTTCGCATGTGAAAAGTGAAAATTCGCACCCAAGAGAAAGCTAAGGTGATTTTCTTCCCTTGCCATCCACAAAATTATAGGAGTAAAGTGAAGTGATAGGAAGAAAAACAATGGAAGTGAACCTTTGCTTTGAGAGGTACCTTTCAAAAGCCGTAATCTTTACCTTTTAGCTCTTTAAAAGTTCAAATAGTCTTTGCTGTTGAAAGACGATAGAGACCGATTCTTCTTGTCACACTAACTACTAGCTTTTTCAAAAGTAGTTGGGTCAATAGTTAGTTTACTGGAGGCACGTCTCATCAGTTGTGATCGTCACTGTTTACACTTTGTCGAACTTCAGTATTTCACCAGCACCGGAAGTATCAGTGCGACTACTAACGAAAGAGCCACCAAAAACTTTTAAAAAACAAAAAATATAACGTAACACGGTCGTTTACCCCATTATAGGTAAATCCCTGTAATGTAGAACCCATTTTACTAGACTCTGTAAAAAACCGAAACAACTCCGGGTTTACCGAGTGGAAAACACCGGAGTAATTATGTGCCATGGGCATTAGCAGACTTATGCTTTTGCCTGTGCTACTTGAACCCCAGACTCTCAACAATATCGTTGCAAGGGGATGAGTTTAGTTGAGTATTGAACGCAGTAAGCATGATTCAGTGTAAACAAAAACACCGAATGTGTCATGTGCATCAAAAAAACAAACGCCAATAGTTCAGATTACTCGAAAAGCACATCAGCCCTTAATGAATACTTGCTGATAAAACTTCCGAAATGAGTTGTCTACTTGAGGCTAGTCTTAAATTCAGAGGGTTAACGAAAAACCAGGAGGTTTATTCAGAAATGAAGACTGGGTCACCAAAGATGTAAAAATATTGAAGTTATTCATGGGCTAAAGCCATATTTAAGGTTGAAATTACTCGCGTTATTGGAAAGCAATCACAATGAAATGACTAACAAACCAGAATCTCAAGAATATTCGCTTTGGAATCTGTTCTAGAAGCTAATGAACTCTTCAAATGGCCAAATCTCAACGCATGCATGTTTTTAACTAATTTATGTATCGGTATCCAGTTGTAAATAGCCAATAGTAAACAATAAATAACAGCCCATAGAGTTCTAGTAGCAACCTTTGCAAAAGGCCGGCTCTTGAAAATCGCGCCGAGTGACCTTGGTAGCACTTGAACGCGCCTGAATTTCGCGCGCTTTCGGAACCTCCACTTTCGCTGGTAATTCCGGGGAGTTCAATGGGTGTAGTGCACCCACGTGGGCAATGATAAGCGATACTTGATTGAAATCTAACTAACCGATGATAATAACAGGCACGTCGGCTTGATCGTGTCTGCGCATGGTGCGAAATGCTAGGGAGAAATGGGCGTGACCACCAAGGCGGCCGTCAGCCGTAGACCATCGATCGCCCATCCCTTTCGTCGTCATCGCCGAGGATACGCCTCCTGGAAGGGGGAGGGGTGGGAAAGAACGGCTGCCCGGCTGCTTGCCAGTTTGCAAAGCTGAGGGCTGAACAGAAATAGCACGTGAAAGGCAAGCATCCGCTGAAAATATCCTCTGAGGGAGGAGTATGTGCATTTATAAAGTATTCAAGAATAAAAAATGAGATTTCCGAGCAATTAAGCACCACGAATAAATCAACGACAAAAAGTTCCAGGACACAATGACAATCAAGAGTTCATTAGGACAAACTTTAACGCCAAATGAGATGCAAAAATGAAAAATCAGCGGCAATTAAGTAAATCTAAACGATATTCTCACTATTGCTCGATACCGCTGTTGCATCCAGTATTGGTGGCCTAATCATTTGTAGAACGAGCAACTATGTTGAATAGTAGACTGCGTTTATAGTTCGCGCAGGGCGAAAAGCGAATAGCATCGCACTGATCGATATGTCAGAGGTCGGGTGACTCTACTTCTCATAGAGGACCTTCGCCATTTGTGGCGTCTGAACATTCTGGTTCTGCTTCGCTACTTAACGCAAATTTATAAGCAATCACTAAATCAATCAATAAAGAAGGGGGAGCGCAGCAGAGCAGGTTTAGGAGCCACAAAAGCATAAAATCCTAGTAAAAGCCACTGCTTACAGGATATATCGATCTACGACGACGTACTCAGCCTTTCACCTTAGCAAACGCGAAGTATGAAAATGGCCGTAGGAGGATAATAAAAAAGTGCTTGGCCTTAACCAAGCCCGCATCCTCTAGCATGAGTCACCGACTTGCGCGGTATTAATTGACGGTCAAGCCGATGTCGACGCCCTATGGCCAACGTCGGCGTCACGACGCCGCTACTATGAATGCGTCCATTCAGAATTGTAGTGGCGGTTCGAATGTGTTACGACCAAGAAAATGACTTTCAATGGCTAACCGATGCACAGGTCAGTGCTATTATTCTCCCAGACGAGTTTGGCAACAGTTACCGTACCAGGGAGATTAGCGAGTGCGCCACGTGAAAAAGCACCCCTCCCTACTTTCACAGAGGAAATCGGTCAAAAAACTTTGTGTTCTTCATCAGAGTAAAAGTGTTTTCATCTTTTACTATATATCTCGTATCGTCGCCTTTCTTATGCAGCGCCCTCCCTCGAAGAGGTCGCGCCGTGAAGCTTACCTGCGTGGCAATGAAAACCACTTTTCTGGAAAAATTTCAAAGTACAATCGTGAGCGTGCGTATGAACTGGAAAGTCTCTCAAACGGGTGTGTGCCAGGATTTTCCTTCGAGGTCACGGCGCCAAAACTAGGTCGCCACGCACGAGGATCACTAATCAGGGAAAAATGTTAAGAACTCCGTTCATAATTCCCTGGATGGAGGGACTGACAGGTAGAGAATCCTGGTTGCCTCGCCATAAACAGCATATTCGGAAAAAAACAGTGTCCTTCATTTACAACAGCCGTCTCGCATATTCATCAAGTCGTTTTCAGAAATTTTACTCATTTAGTTTTATTTAGAATTTATCGAGCAATTCATGAGATATCACTTTTTTACGAATACACTAAATCTCAATTTGAGCGAATTATTGTTATGGCGTAAAGGCCTTCGAATCGGATGTAAATTTCATGGCAATAAGGCTGAAAAGGCTGAATGCCATGTAACCATGAGAAAAAGAAAAGTTTTGAAAACATCCTCATGAAATATATTGAACATAAAGGAAGCGACGTTTACATTTACATTTACATCTAGAAACGGTTTTTTTGTAAATTTAGATTAGGTCCCTTCAACGTTGCTTCACGACCATAACCGTTCGTTAGATTTTGCCTGCACAACCTGAGCGACAAGTTCCTAAAAACCTCTGTGTGAATGGCAAGCCCTACATGGGAATGATCTATTCCTGATCGTTCCCCTTTTCCTCTCTGTCTCGTCTTCACCACCTCAAATATCGCTTGCGGGCAATATAATCAGGAATTTGAGGACGAAAAATTCCATAGAAAGCCAGCAATTAGGTGTCTTATCCGTAATTCTAAACGTACAACTTTTCCTTGACACCATGGCCAAAAAGCAACGAATACGAAGCCAGCGGGCACAATCCAGAACTGTATCTGCGACAACTTCGCCACACCATTCCTTGATTACACACCTCACATCTGGTGGTAGAGACAACCTGGGAGTGATTATTTCGAAGGACAAGAATAACTAAACAAAGAATTCACATGGCTGTAGCCTTTTTTTTACACTCCGACTGGATATAAAACCCCTATACTTGACTAGACAGCTTGCTGACCCATGCCTGACTCTACTCAGTATTTGAACAGAGTTTGCCTTCGTCTAATTAAGAACGTTCCTCCAAAGTTAGGTGCACAATCAATTTTGTCCGAAATCGGAAATTAAACTAAGTGCATCTGCGATGGGTCTGTGAGATTGAAACCTTCGAAATACGAAGAAGTAGGGAGCCAAAACATCGGACTCTGGATTACCCGGTTCGTCGATTGCTTTTGGAAGCAACATCCAAGGGTCACTGTTGTAACTAGCGACGTACAAATACTTGTGAAATGCCAAGCAGGATTGAGTCTCGCTTCAAATCTCAGAATTTCATTCTCGGACATGAACTCCCAGCATGAGTGACATGGGCCACTGATCAGCTGATGTAACGATCGATGACGATGTCCACACCCTTTCGGCTCCAGCAACCGTCCGGCTACCGGAGGATTAAAACGAGAATGTTTTAATTTCCGAAATTTTCGTTTAAAGGAGACAGAGAACTTCACCCTAGTTGCCCTAAAGAGCGTTACCCCCTCCCAACCCAAAGACGAAAAAAGAGGCTATGAACCGAAGAAAGGCTGTTCGAAAAAAGAAAATTGGCAAAGTTATCAGGAAGTAGCTTTACAGTAGTTGGACCGCTAGAAAAAGTCGAGCTCATGATCGGAAACATCAATTCGTGCCATCCAATGGCACTGACATGGGTGTTGTACAATAGGGAACGGTTCGTGAGTGACTTGAGGTTTGCCTGTGTGGCAATGAAAATTCCGTTCCGAAAGTTTCGAAATGCTGGCATGAGGTGCGGATAATGTGGAAGTAAGGAGCAAGTTCATGATTTAAGAAGGAAACAAATCTATCAAAAAAGGGTGATAGTCAGCAGTTTCCTTGGAGATCTCGGCACCAGAACTAGTAGCAGCAATCGAACATCATTCTGCGCTTTCAGAACACAACATCAAGCGCCGACGTTGGACGCACTTGCGTCAATTGACGCTTGACGCTGTACTCTGGAAGATACAATTAATCATAGCCAATTGCTAGGCGTTTCCTTCATTGTTACCTGTGTGGAACGACTGTCAAGGAGAATCCTGGCTGTCATCCCACACAGGCCGTCTCGTCATAAAACGCAGCTTCTAGAGAGAATCCTTTTTTTT